CGAGTGAGACACCTGAAGGGAGTTGTAACATTTTTCTTGTTTTGAAGTTATTGGTTTGTGAAATGCTTGCTTTGAAACTATTGGTCGTATAAGCGCGGGCTTTTGTGTAACAGTTGTGGGAGCCTATATAATCTTTACATGAAATTGCCTCGAGGTCGATCACTCCAACCAGACCTGCGTGTCTTGGAAGGACGGTGGGCCCCAGCTAGCTGGCCTAATAAAACTCTGCTTGATTTTTGCATCTCCATACTCATGCATTTGTTCTCCTGAAGAGACCCACCAAGTCACGGACCCTAACACTAAGATTCCCGCATTGTAAATAAACAACAACAAAAAATAACAAAAATAAATAAAGATCCTATATCACTTGGTAGATTGACTTCATGATATCAGCCTGGGGTTCTAATTTCTTGCAGATTACCACCCTTTATCTATCCAGATACTCATGTAAGAGACTAAATCCTTGATAAGTGAACAGGGTCATTGAGTAGTAATAAAGATGGCATATTTCTGTTGTCTTCCTCTTGGCTTAACACAAGGGCCTGGGTGCTCCCTCTTTAGCCATCAGGGATATCTTTCCAGTCAGCTAGTCCAAACCAGTTCAGATATGCCTGAGGCCAAACCTGGACACCTCTTCATTTGAATCCATAAGCCTATCAGCCTTGTCTTCTTTGTTTAAAGAACAATTAACAATTAGGGGAGGGGAAACCATTAAAACCCATAAAATCTAGGCCCTTCCCAAGGGACATTGGATTCTTGATCTTTAAATTCCTGTCTCCACTGTGGAGAACTTTATCTTTCTGCACGAGTGTGTGTGTGTGTGTGTGTGTGTGTGTGTGTGTGTGTGTGTGTGTGCCTGTAGAGAACAGAAAAGGGTGTAGATGTCTTAGAGCTGCTGTTACGGGTGTTGCAAGCCACCTGACCTGTGTGCTGGGAACAGAATTCCTGGCCCTCTTTGCTTCTTTCTGCTGGTCTGAGTTGGGTTTTGTTTTTTGTTGCTGTTGTGCGCCCCCCTCCCCCCCATCTTTTAATTCTTTAATTGGATGAGAAAATGAACCCAACCTTACCTCTAGACTGATAATGTCAATTTTAACACTAAGAGATGGTAAACCTCTTTATCATGCCCCTGAGATAGTGGCCAGGGTGTTTGTTTTGAGCACTTTTGAGGGACCAGATGGCCCTCAGTGAATGTCACTGTGAAACCCTACTTTGTGCCCCTAGACCCATGCCCTTTAGGACTAGTCCCTCTTCTCGCTTCTGTAATCTACTTGGCTTTAGGGAACGGTTGCTGCTGTAACTCCATTTTGTAATAAGCTGCCCCCGCCCCCCACAGTGTTAGGCTTGAGCTGTTATGAGCCTTCAGTCATGGAGGCAGAGGGGGAGGATACAGGCCCAGGCATGTTGAGCAAACCTGAAAACAATGAGACCAAATAAGGTAAAGGAACGGGACCCTGCAAATGAGCCTAGGTCACTACATTCCTTTATCCTGAAGATAGCACCCACCAATGAAAAGCCCTGAGTCAGCCTTAACCCTATTTGGTGTATGCAGTCCTTGTAACCAATCAATTTAAAGTATACTGGCACGCACGGGCTCCCTGGACCAATCAGAATGTGACTCTGCTATTCCTCTCCTCCCTTTGTCTCAGAAATATAAAAAGCTCCTTTTCCTTTGCTTGGGGCTCTCAGTACAGATCCATTGTTGGTGAGGTCTGAGAGTCCAAGCTTAAGCCCAAATAAAGGCTCTTTGTTCTTGCATACCCTCTGGACTCAGTGGTGGTACTTGGGGAACTGTTCACTGGGCACAACAGTCACACACAGCTCTAGCCCTCAAAGGCCTCATCACCTTCCTATCCCAGAACAGGTGTTTACAGCAGATTCTACCCATCCATACTGAGTTCTGATATTCCTGTGAGAGTTTGGACTTTAGTTCTTGCTCACTACTAGGGCTTTTCAGACTCTGTTTTTGTTTTTACATCCCGAGGATGACCCTTTAACAAAAATCATGTTCCAATGATAGAAATATAGTCTCTGGCACTACCTACCAGCTAAGAAGTCTTTGGCAAAGGCTCGAATAGATTTGGTATCGGCCAAGTCCAGTTTCCGCACCAGCACCTGCTTGTTCCCTGTGGAGGTTTGGATCTCCTTGGCTACCAGTTCCCCCTTTTGCACATCCCGGCAAGCTAAGTACACACGAGCTCCTGTCAAGAAAATGAAAAAGAAACTGTCAACTCTACTTTTGAATGGTGTTATAGAAGAATGAATACTGATGACCAATGCTATTTTCTCCTGATGTTTTTATAAAACAGGAATTTTTGGTCCTACTTCACAACAGAGGTACCTGAAACAAATTAACCCATTATACATAGAACATCATATGAGATTCAGACCACACTAGCAAATGACTGAGGTGTTTGGAATGTCCTTGCATTCCCAGCTTGGGTAGAAGCAAGGAGTGTGACCATCACTGTGAGGAGCAAATAGCAATTGTGAGGGGAGGCTGAGAGCAGGGACACTTACCTCTACGAGCCAGGTCTTGGGCTGTCTCCTTCCCAATGCCTGAGTTAGCTCCAGTGACTACAGCCACCTTCCCAGGAAGCTGGACGGTAGATGTACATACCCCATTGGATAGCATTTTCCTAGAGACATAGAATACATCAGTTCTTCATTATTCCATTCCTGCTGAGGGCTCTGGCAACTTCCTGTCTTCCAGTGTTGTTCTTTTATAAGTTTAAGGAAGACAGGGCCAGCAAGATGGCTCAGTGGGTAAACATGTTTGCTGCCAAGCCTGACAAACCTGAGTTTGATACCCAGGACCCACATGGTAAAAGCAAGAATTGACTCCTGAAAGTTATCTGATCTCCACACATGTGCCATGGTACACGTGTGTACCCTCATCCCAGCACAGAATTAAATAACACACATACAATAAGTGCAAAAAAATTAGGATGGGATGGCTGGAGAGATGGCTCTGTGGTTAAAAGCACTTGCTGTTCTTGCAGAGGATCCAGGCTTAGTTCCTGGCATTCATATGGTGGTTCATAACTGTCTGTAACTCCAGTTCCAGGGACGTGTATATATTCACATTCAAGTAAACACTCATACACACAAAAATAAATTTTTTTAAATTAAAAAGAATTAAAAATTAAAAAGACAGTCTTCTGCTCTTAAACCAGATATGGTAATCCCACCACTCAGGAGACAGAAGAATCAGAAAGTTGAGGGCCAGTCTGGTCTACACAGCAACTCTTTCAAAAAATAAAACAGAGTTTTCTACTCTTGTTCAAGGACAAAAGTAATGGTATTTTTAATTTTAAAAAAATATTTTATGTGTATGAGTGTATTGTCTGCATGTAAGTATACCTGTGTCATGCAATGCCCATGGATGTCAGAAGAGGGCATCGGATTCCTCTGGAACTGGATTACAGACAGTTGTGGGTACTGGGAATTGAACCTGGGTCCTCTGCAAGAGCAGCCAGTGCTCTTAACTGCTGAGCCATCTCTCCAGTCCCCAAAAGTGATGGTATTTTAAAAGCAAGGGTTGGATTTGCTCCCTGTAGCACAAGACATAAATGAGTATTTGATTAATCAGACACTTGACTTCAGTTTGAGTTCTCCATGAGGCATTATTTTTTGGCTTAGGCAATCATCAGACTCAACCAAGGAGAGGCAAGATTGGTCTCTGCATGCCAATCTGCCCACAACTGGCATTTTACAGGTCTTGAGAACGGCTAATCCAAATCAAAGAGTAGAAATTATGAAAGTTTGTGAATCTAGGACAAAACAAGAAAAATAACACCACATCACACATAAAAATACATTTTAACATGGGACAGAGGTTAGGTATGTAGCTCAGTGGTAAAGCGTGTGTTTGGCATGTGCAAAGCCCTGGATTTGATTGCTAAGGCCACGAATAAATAATAAACAAACAAATGGAACAGAGTCAAGCACAAAGGAGCGGATTCTCGGATTGTCTAGTCAGAATTCTTGCTCCTACACACTATGCTCCACTGCCTTTCCAAATGAATGAGACACAAACACAATCCTCAGGTTGCTCTTTTCTCATCCCAGCAATCCTGTGGCTAAAGGATCTGTCGATCAGGACATGGATTTTTAAGGAGCATTTCTGCCTTCTCCATTGAACTTGGAATTACAAGTAACCACTGAAGTCACCTGCTTAGAGAAAACCGACAGCCAGTGAGGCAAGCTAACTTGTGGAATTCAACTAACCTCTCTTATCTGGGAACATGGCTCTGTCTCCCACAGCCCTTGAGTTTGAGCTCTAGCAGTGACAAACTGTACTAAGCTCTTTTCTCTCCTTAACCAGCGGAAATGAAAAAGAGACAACCAACTACAAAAGTCTAGTCTTGGGCTGCAGAGATGGCTTAGAGTTTAAGAGCACAGACTGCTCTCGGAGAGGACAGGAGTGAGGTCCCAGCACCCATAGGTTGGCCAACAAACATTTGTAGCTCAGGTTTCAGGGTATCCGACGCCCTCCTCTGGCCTCTGCCTAGCATTGCACGACATGGGTGCACTCACATACATGCAAGCAGAACACTCATACACATACATTAAAAATAAATTTTTAAAAAGGTCTGAGGAGATGGCTCAGCAGTTAAGAGACTGCTCTTACAGAAGACCCAGTTCGATTCCCAGCACCTACAAGACAGCTAACAACTGCCTGTAACTCCAGTTCCAGGGGATCCATCACCTTCTTCTGACCCCTGCGAGCATTACACAACACAGAAGCACTTACACATATGAAGGCAATACACCTATACACATAAAATAAAAATAATTTTTAAAAAAGCTCTGGTCCTGCTCCCATAAGCTAGCTCAAATGGGGATAAATCCTTAAAGTACAATCTTTCTCAGAAAAGTTTCACTATTTGAAGTTCTGATTCAACTTTTCGTTGAGATTCTATGTGGTTAGGAGGGTCTTGTGGTGAGAAAAGATAAAAATCCGTATTTTCTTTTTTTTTTTTTTTTTTTTTTTTTTTTTTTAAGGGTCTCCCTATAGCCCCAGCTAGCCTGGAACTCACTCTGTAGACAAGGCTGGCCTTGAACTCACAGAGATCCGCCTGTCTCTGTCTCCCGAGTGCTGGGCTTAAAGGTGTGCACCACCACGCCCGGATAAAAAATCCGTATTTTCATCTGAGAATAAGGCCCATGAGTGCCTCGAAGTAGGAGCAGTGAGTTATTCCCAGGAGGTGGGGGTATGAGTGTGTGTGGGGGCGAATACAGCTGGAAGACGAAGACGGTGACCAGGGAGGGAAGGTAAAGAAAAAAGGGAGGGAGATCAGTTTTGAAAAACTTTCACTATAGTAAGAAATGTCAGCGGAGCTGTCACAGTTTCAGGATCAATAGAAGCATGTATGTGGCCTGAGCAAGGCGCCTATCTCTTCAGTCACTGGTCGACCATCGCGCCTGGTGACTTACTCTGAACCAATCAGCAGGCTGCCCCTTGTACAGCCTACTGCTGATTCTCTGTAGGTGTATGGCCAGCTTTGGGTTGATCTGACACCTGGTCAAGAGATGATTCCCACCCCCTTCACTCTCCTCCTGGTCCCTAGGAGTCTTAACTCGGGCACACACACGCCGGAAGGAAAGGGAAAACACTCTTCCCCTTCACTTCTCTCTTTTACATCAGCACCGAGGAGAGAATCTAACAGCAACGAGAGGGCTTGCAGCAGGGCTGCAGATACCACGACTCGTAACGAGTTCAGAGCGCAGAAAGTGCAATCGCTCCTTAGTACCTCAAGGGCTGTAAGCAAGAAGCCAGACAAAGGCAGTTTCAAAGCGTGGGAGTTAAAGAGGAAATAGAGATGGGGCTCCATCCCATTCTAGAGTCTGAAGCCCCCCTGGCTCCCGGGGTTCCCTGGAGCCAGAAGCAGGGGAAAGTAAACGAAAGGGAAGCCTGGAACAAGCAAAGCAGGATGCTCGAGACCGTAGCCTTTTCACTAACGCCTGGGTCTGGCGTGTTGCGGTACCCATATATAGGACACAAAGATCTCGCCTGCAATCCACAACTTCAGGTCAGTCAGCCATCTTGGGGACCCCACAAGGGAGTTTTCCTATTCCTTTTTCTGAATTAAAAAAATTTTAAAAAGAGGCGCTTCGTGAAGATTCGTGCCCTCCCAAAAATACTTGGCAAGAAAAGGCAATATTTACAACAGACCTGATTTTTGGCGCAGTCAAGTACAGGATGAAGGGTAGAAAGAGGAGCAGCAGGAGCCCAAACATCTCTGCAAGGCGGCAGCGCTGCAGAGGCTGATGACCCAGAGTTGCTGGCCAACTATGGCTTCTCTTTCCTAGGTACGCCGCAGTTCAAATGCAACTGCTCGGGAGCAAAGGCCTCTGGGAAATGTAGTTTGGGACTTGGCGGCCGCTGGGCTGTGCCCATTCAGGGTGCTGCTTCCAGGACACCGTGAGAAATTGAATCACGCAACACAGGAGCCAACTGTCTAAATAGAGTCTGTGGGATCATCGAACCAGCCCTCCCACCGCTCTCTGGCCACCAGAAGTTATTGTGAAATCTCCCCAGTTTGCTCTCTCTCAGGGCTCAAGTCCAGTTCAATTTTCCCCAATCATGATTAGGAAGTTACCACATTTTGGCTGGAGATAGAGCATTGGTGCCTGGTTAAGGATTCTGAGGCCGATTACCCGGGAGAGGAGCCGTTAATCTGACAGTTGGTGAAGTGGAGGACGTCCCTCCCCAGGGACTTCCCTTTTCCCATGGAGGCAAAGGAAGGAAGTCATTCCCCGGAGAATTACTGTATTGTGTCTATTCTGAACTATGATGGAAACTATCATCATTTTCCCCAGTATTTGATTATTACTTGATAATAAAATACTTTTCCTTAAAAAATATTTATTTATTTATTTATTTCCACCTGCCTCTGCCTCCCAAGTGCTGGGATAAAAGGTGTGCGCCACTACGCCTTATTCGTTATTTTTATTTTATGTGTTTGAGTGTATTGCCTGTGTGTGTAAGTACACCTGTGTCCTGCAAATCTTGCGTCAGAAGTGGGTGTTGGATTCCCCCAGAAGTCCAGTTTCAGACAGTTGTTAACCTCCAAGTGGGTGCTGGGAATCGAAGGGTTCTCTACAAGAACAGTCGGTGCTCTTAACTGCTGAGCCATCTCTCCAGCCCCATAAAATAGTTTTCTTGATGACTTGTGTCACATGTATTAATCTTCAGGGCAGCAATTAGTTTCCCAGATTGGCACAGTTGGTTTTGCCAGCTTATGAAAGCATTTAATCCTGTTTTGAATTAAGGCCATGAACATATTGTCTGAGAACAGGCAAGCTCCTTGTTCAATCTTTTAATCTTTTTCTTGAGTTCTGTTTCCTGTGGGTGAACATGGATTAAGTCTTGACAAATCATTATTATTTGTGATAATTTCTGGTTCCCTGGTTCCTTTTCTTTCCTTCCTTCCTTCCTTCCTTCCTTCCTTCCTTCCTTCCTTCCTTCCTTCCTTCCCTCCCTCCCTCCCTCCCTTCTTTCTTTCTTTCTTTCTTTCATTCATTAATTTACTTGTTTATTTTGAGGTAAAGTCTCCCTTTGTAGCTCTGGCTGACCTAGAACTCTTTATGTAGGTTAGGCTGGCCTTGAGCTTACAGAGATTCATCTGCCTCTGCCTCTGGAGTGCTGGTGTTAAAGGCCTGTGCCACTATGTCCAGCAGTTTCTGGCTCTCTTACATAATTCCTCTTGATTGAAACACTGGTTTCAAGCTCAGTTTAAACCAATATATTTTATTACAACTGGGAAGGAGGTTTCTGTCATACAATAGGAATTCTTAGGGATTTAACATTAAATTATCCAGTAATCAGCTTTTGTCATTATCTTGTGTTGTGCCTAATAGTTGTATATCAGTTCCCAGCTTCATAAAAGCCTTTCACGTGTTGCTTCTTATTCATTTTCTCATTCATTTTGCAAATATTTATGGTATTCTTACAGTGAAAGGGGAGTCAGGCATACATAATCTCTGCTCTCTTGGAGCTTATAAAATGTCAGGGAAAACTTTAAATAAGGGAATCACTGTAAATAGATCATGGCAAGGGTTATGGAGGAAAATAAAGAAAACTTTGGAAGCTGATGAAGGCAGAGCTCTCCTGGGCTAGAGGTCATCAAGGACCTTTTTGAGAAAATAGCATCTGAGCAGAGGCTGTAGGGAAGATCAAGATTAATGTGCAACAGCACGTAGTCAAGAATGGGCCGAGAATTAATCCCAGCACTTGAGAGACAGAAGCAGGCAGATCCTTGGATGTTCAAGGTCAGTCTGGTCTACATAGCAAAATCCAGGCCAGCCAGAGTGAGATCTTGTCTTAAAACAAAACAAAACAAAACAAAAAAATGTGCAGAGGAAAAAGTCCCCCTGAAGGCTTAGAGCTTGTGAAATCAGCATAGACAAGAGCAACAGAAAATGTCGATTTAGCTGGGACTTAGGGGCAAGGAGGAGAGCCAGAAATGGCAATAGTCAATGTTTATGCAGTGCTTATTGTGTGCCAGGTCATGCCCAAGTACTTTACACTCTCTCTCTCTCTCTCTCTCTCTCTCTTTCTCCCTCCCTCTCTCCCTCTCTCTCTCTTTTGTTCTCATTCTTACTCTCACTCTCTCTCTTTCACACTCTCATTACTAAATTGCCTAGGTTAACCTTGAACTTTGTGTAATTGAGCTAGCCTCAAGTATATTAATGCTCTTAATGCCTGTAACCATGAGGTAGATCTATAATGCAAAGCTGAGTTCAGACTTCAGCATGTGGTATCCTGGGATTCTGCCCTTAACTGTTGAGCTATATTGTAAAAAAGATGAAGCTGGGGCCTGGAGAGATGGCTCAGCAGTTAAGAGCACTGACTGCTCTTGTAG